CCCCCAATTTTATACCATATTTCTCTTTTATTAGTGTAGATACTAGCGCCCAGCTGGCGTGGCTCAGTGGTTGAGCACCGACCTAGGAACCAGGAGGTCAGGATTTGATTCCCAGTCGGGGCCCATGCCCAGGCTATAGGCTCGATCCCCAGTGCAGGGTATGCAGGAGGCAGCTGATCATTGATTCTCTCTGATCATTAATAAAAATGTATTAAAAAAACACACGTGTGTGTCCGTGGCATCCTGAGAGCCACACAGCCTCCCAGTGAGGAGGAGAGACGGGAGGTGCGCTCAGCTGCCCGAGGTCGGGGTGGTCAGGGCTGACCCCACTCCCCGGGGCTCCGCACCCCAATCCCAGGCCCTGGCTCCCGGGCCTCACCACCTCTCACTCCCCAGAACCCCTGGCTGAGGGAGCCGGAGGGATAAGCTCCCCGTCCACGTGGGGCGAGATCTGGGTGGGAAAGTGCGTCTCCAAGAATGCCCAGCTGGGAGCCAGCAGGATTCAAACCCAGAGCCAACACCCTGGCGATGCATAACAGGCCGTAGGGCCCACTCCCCGGAGAGGCAGCTGATGTGCGTTCTGCCTGTCCTCAAGCGGAGCCACCTGGAAGGCTCACCCAGGGCCGTTGCCACCCACTTGGCGTCTGCCGGCGGTTACCACCGTAAGTGCCAGGAACACAGCCCTCCGCCCTTCCTGCGGAGACCCTGCCTCACCCCTTCTCATGGCTGCTCCCTGACCCCGGGGAGTGACTGTCCAGGTGCGTCGTGACCTCCAATGCCAGATGCCTGCTTATAGCACAGACTCAGAGGTTCTAGAAAGAATTTGGAGGAGACCTGGTCTCAGGCCTTCCCCTGGCCTGGGCCCGCCCAGCTCAGGCAGACAGCACCACCTCCCAGGGCAGGAACTTTCTCCAAGTTTCATCTTCACACAAAGATAGTCAGTCCTTCCAAAGGAGCAGAGTTCAGAGCAAAACCAGAGCCCGGCACAGCCTCCTCACAGCCCGGCTTTCAAATGCCTGAGGATTCACAGCTGGGCACCAGCCAGTGGCCTCTGTGTGCGCCTAAGGTTGGGTTTTTCGTTTCTCCAAAGAGAGGAGGAACAGGAGGAGGAAGAAGGAAGGAAAAAGGGGAGGGAGGGAGAAAGGAAGGAAGTTAGTTCGATGTCTGAGGGTTGAGGCTGAGTTCAGAGCAGGAGGCAATCATGGAGAACTTCCTGGAAGTGGCAGCACACGGTGAGTCCATTCTGCACACAGAAGGGTGGGAGGGAGCCGAGTGCAATGAGACTGACACTCAAGGCTCTCGGGGCCGTAAGACCCGGCGGGTCTGTGGGAAGGCCCCGTGGGTGTGGAGGAACAGTGCAATGGCCGGCTGGCCGGGAGGGTTCAGACTCAGGCTGGGCCCAGTCTCTGCTAGAGGGTGTCAAGGGTTGGGGAGCTTTGGAGACAGGGAAGTGGGCCTGTCACTCGCACCCCTTTCTGATTATGTCACCCCCAGCAGGGTGCCCTACACTTTCCCCCTCTGTAAGGCATCGCCAAGTGTGCTGCCCAGAAATGCCCCCCCACCAGTGCCGTGCCCGCACCATCTGTCCCCACCCCCAGCACTGCACCCACTGCTTCTGCAGCAGCCGGGGCGCCAGCTGGGGGAACAATCGGAACAGCAGGCCGCGGGAGAGTGTCTAAACACAGGGCCTATTTGGGGATCGGCTTTTATTTTTAGTTTGAAAGTGGCCCACCCTCCAGCCTTGTAGAATGGCTCCGTGGGCCAGGCCTCCAGCAGCATGGTCTCATCACTCACTGTCACCTTGGAGATAACTTTGAGGTCTCAGTCTGCCCATCCCCAAATGGGGCAGCACAGGGCCCATCGGGGGGGACA